CTTTTGATCTTTGATGGTTTAAAGTCTGTTTTATCAGAGACTAGGATTGCAACCCCTGCTTTTTTTTGTTTTCCATTTGCTTGGTATATCTTCCTCCATCCCTTTATTTTGAGCCTATGTGTGTCTCTGCATGTGAGATGGGTCTCCTGAATCCAGCAAACTGATGGGTCTTGACTTTATCCAATTTGCCAGTCTGTATCTTTTAATTGGACCATTTAGTCCATTTACATTTAAGGTTAATATTGTCATGTGTGAACTTGATCCTGTCACTGTGATATTAGCTGGTTATTTTGCTCGTTAGTTGATGTAGTTTTTTCCTAGCATCGATGGTCTTTACATTTTGGCATGTTTTTGCAATGGCTGGTACTGGTTGTTCCTTTCCATGGTTAGTGCTTCCTTCAGGGTCTCTTGAAGGGCAGGCCTGGTGGTGACAAAATCTCTAAGCATTTGCTTGTCTGTAAAGGATTTTATTTCTCCTTCACTTATGCAACTTAGTTTGGCTGGATATGAAATTCTGGGTTGAAAATTCTTTTCTTTAAGAATGTTGAATATTGGCCCCCACTCTCTTCTGGCTTGTAGAGTTTCTGCCGAGAGATCTGCTGTTAGTCTGATGGGCTTCCCTTTGTGTGTAACCCAACCTTTCTCTCTGGCTGCCCTTAACATTTTTTCCTTCTTTGTGCTGGTTACGTAGTTCCTCCTTTAGGTCTGAGAAGTTTGATCGACTGAAGCCTTCTTCTCTCAACTCGTCAAAATCATTCTCCATCCAGCTTTGTTCCGTTGCTGGTGATGAGCTGCGTTCCTTTGGAGGGGGAGATGCGCTCTGATTTTTTGAATTTCCAGCTTTTCTGCCCTGCGTTTTCCCCATCTTTGTGGTTTTATCTGCCTTTGGTCTTTGATGCTGGTGACGTACTGATGGGGTTTTGGTGTGGATGTCCTTTCTGTTTGTTAGTTTTCCTTCTAACAGTCAGGACCCTCAGCTGCAGATCTGTTGGAGTTTGCTTGAGGACCACTCCAGACCCTGTTTGCCTGGGTATCAGCAGTGGAGGCTGCAGAAGATAGAATATTGCTGAATAGCAAGTGTTGCTGTCGGATTCGTGCTCTGGAAACTTCGTTTCAGAGATGTGCCCAGCCATGTGAGGTGTGAGGTGTCAGTATGCACCTAGTGGGGGATGTCTCCCAGTTAGGCTACTCAGGGGTCAGGGACCCACTTGAGCCAGGCAGTCTGTCCACTCTCAGATCTCAACGTCTGTGCTGGGAGACCCACTGCTCTCTTCAGAGTTGTCAGACAGGGTCATTTACATCTGCAGAGGTTTCTGCTGTTTTTTGTTTAGCTATGCCCTGTCCCCAGAGGAGGAGTCTTCAGAGGCAGGCAGGCCTCCTTGAGCTGTGATAGGCTCCACCCAGTTCAAGCTTCCCACAGCTTTATCTACTTAAGCCTTAGCAGTGGCGGGTGCCCCTCCCCCAGCCTCACTGCCACCTTGCAGTTAGATCTCAGACTGCTGTGCTAGCAATGAGGGAGGCTCCATGGGCGTGGGACCCTCTGGGCCAGGTGTGGGATACAATCTCCTGGTGTGCCGTTTGCTAAGACCCTTGGTAAAGTGCACTATTAGGTTGGGAGTTACCCAATTTTCCAGGTGTGGTGTGTCTCAGTTTCCCTTGGCTAGGAAAAGGGATTCCCTTCCCCCTTGTGCTTCCCAGGTGAGGCAATGCCTCGCCCTGCTTCAGCTCTCGCTTGTCGGGCTGCACCAGCTGACCAGCACTGATTCTCTGGCACTCCCCAGTGAGATAAACCCAGTACCTCAGTTGAAAATGCAGAAATCACCCGTCTTCTGTGTCGCTCGCACTGGAAGCTGGAGGCTGGAGCTGTTCCTATTTGGCCATCTTGCTCAGGAACCTAGGCTCTTCTTAAGTTAAAGAGGCACAAACATCTCTGTGAAATATTTGTATATTAGAATAAGCCCTGTATCACCTCCATGGCCTTGATCTGTCATACATACACAATAATAATAGACATTACTGGTAGAAAGTTTGTGTATTACATTTACATTTCATTTTTGTTATTTCAAATTATTTTAGAATAGAAAATATATTGTAAGGGCACCTAAAATGCTCAAGAGTGTCGCTTCTACTACCCTCTCTGGAATTGTACTTATTTGTACTCCATTAGTAGAATCCTATATCTGGATTCATGGAAGTTCATGATATAAAATCAGCACAGATTGAAAGTAATGTTTTTCTCTCAGGCTGGCTCATTTCACTTATTCTGAAGATGAATACCCAAAGACCTTAGAAAAACCGCATTCCTACTATTAAACCAAGTGCCATTGTCCCTGAGTCATCTGGGCCATTGAAGTGAATGATCTCTTTTGCAGGATGAATTTTATGTATTGGCTGTCAGTATATACCTAACTAAATTATAAAGCTAACTTCTAAACCTCATTACATTTTGTTTCATTGCAAGTTCACTGAAGTAAGCAAATGTTCCTTTATTTTCCCACCGCAGTGGATCCTTACAAAGCTAGAAGAAGCAAGAGAACCTTCTCCGAGCCTCTGACAGAGAACACTGCCTGAAGACACACAGCAATAAGGAATTACAGCTCCTAGACTGTACCTTTCAAAACCTGTTTGGGAAGCATATTACAGAAATAATTTCAAGTACCCTGTATTTTGGATGATAAAAAAAAAAACAAAAAACAGAATCAGGTAAAACAGCTATGTGATTAAAATATTTCAATTCTTCAGCAATTACCTGGTTTTCTAACTTGAATCATGCATCTATTTATAATTATAATTATTTTGTAAAAGAAGAAAAAATTATGAATCTTAAATATTTGCTCCAAGTTTTTCTCTGTAATGGTGGAGAGGCTGCCCGTAATTCATCTCCACATGGAGCCAAGTTTAATGTTTCTAGTTCACATTTTGAACTTCCATCATGCTTATTTCAGACTCCCTGAGTGATGGGTAAACAATCAAATCAAACATTGCCTCAGTGGTATCAAGAGAACTTTGGTGGTGGTTTCTTCAGAATCATGAAGTTCTTTTTATAGACAAATATTTTGATATTATTTTCCTTATTTTTAATATAAAGGATAGGTTTGAATTATACTTAAAATGCATAGCATGATTATTTAAAACAATCTTTTAAAATACAATTTATAACATAGATTGAAGCCTCCCCTTAAGAAAACTTAAAGAAATTAGTATGCTACTCAAAAAAGGAAGTCTCTGAGAACTTTAGGGACTTTGAAATATTTCCTCAAGCGTATTTCATGAGATCTACTTGGTTTATCCAAGTCATGTTTTTAATAGACTGCTAATATCAAAGGAGAATATCTAAAGCCTTAACAATGCCTACTTTCCATTCACTGTTAACATGGAATATACAAAATTCCCAACATCTTAGATACAGTGAATTATGCTTCCAACAGACAGTCCTTCTCATAAGTAAGTGTATGTACCCTGAAATCTAGCCCAATAAGGTGTCCTGTTGCCAACAGATTGAGAATTTCTGGTTTGCTTTCTCTACAGTTATTCAAATGAGAGTCACTCTTCTAAATTTACAGCTCATCACAGAAATCATCAGCTATACATTAGTAAAAATAAGGACATGAGGTTTTCTTTCTTGGTTTTTGTCCAAGATCTTTGCACCTTAATATTAATGGACTCTTTCAGGTAAAAGGGAATGAATGTATGATTGTGAACTATGAAGAGAATGATGCAGGATCCTATTTAGATACTGAATAATACGGAGTATTCAATGCATGTTGTATGTGCCACCAAGTTATTATAAACTGTTTTTGGAATTGAAGACTCTGTATAGTCAATGGTTGTGAAATTCTTCTCAGGCTCCTAAAACCCTTGCTTTGTTGTAAAAGCTAAAATAAACAGCATGCTATATTGTAATTGTTATTTCTTGCTGACCAAATCTACTTAATGCTTCTGATTTCTCTCTGATGAGTAAAACACATTGTTTATTCTCAGTAGTTTCTCCCAAAATGCTTTTTGCTCTGCTGAACTTAAATTGAATCAAACTACACGTTTCAAACCACATGAAAGTGTGTTTCCATGTTGACCTTTTTATAAAAAAAAAGAAAAAAAAGTGCATATTTTCTCTGTTGCTAAGCTCCTCCAGTTTTGCTTTTGTCAGAATTAAACCTAAGAGTAGAGGTAGTCAGAGAGCTTGCATCAGATTGTCCTCATCCAAAACAAAATACTTCATTACCCATTCCAATGTTATGAGTTCACCGGTCTCAGAAAAATTACAGCCCCCCTGCCTCCCTGGGTGTAGTGTCGTGAAGCAGAAAAGCCTTACACAAATAGTAAACATAGAAATTCTTCTGGTGTCCTCTGGCAGCCAGCAGGAGTGGGTCTTGTAACTAGTCCACATAGAAAGGATAGTGCCTGTCTTTCTTGTTCCCTTGCCATAAGAATCATGAAATATCTCTTCTTCTTCTTTCCCTGCCACTGGTTTACACGTCACCTCCTCCCATGGCTTCCTTGTCTCTAGAGGGACCCACACTTTCAAGAGCTACATCGTATCATTTGTTTAAGAAGCTTGTCTTCATCTAAACAAAAACAGTAAGAACATCAGTAGATCACTAGATAACGAGTCAGTGTTTTTAGCATCACATTTTACAATTTAGTTTTTGTTTGATTCTATAGCCCATTTTTCTTGAAGGTTAGAATATACAATCGTCTTGTATTTGAAAACCATCTGCCCTAAATTACATTTAACTACAATAAATGGCTCTCTGCTGGAGAAATTTAAGCTTGTCTTAAGTTGTTTGGTGGTGGCTATGGAATGAGGTGTTCAGTCTTGTGCCCCTTCCATGTATTATTTGCTAACTCTATTACTAGGCCCTTAATTCCAGCATAGCATGTCTTCTGGTCTATGATAATTATGCGAGGACCAAGACAGAGTTCCCAGCCAACTCTCCACCAGAAAATCATAAGTCATTGGAAAGAGCGACTTTGATTTCTTCACATTTAGAAAATACTCTCTGAGCCAAAAGACACGTACACTTCTCCAGTGTCTTCCCTTGTAGAGTGTATATATTTGCTGCTTTTCCTCTACTGTTTGCAAAAATCCCAAGGTCAGTTTAGTGTGGCTGAGTTGTTATCTGGACTCTAAATAATCATTACCACCTGTAGGCAGTTCTTACCTACCCCTCTCCTCCACAATCCTAATCCATTTGGAGGCAACTATCCTGTGGCCTCCAAATGAATCAGTCTTTCTTAGACTTACATGATCTTTTCTATAATAATTCTCTCTCTCATTTCTTCTGATGGTAATAGCAGTAATATTGTTCCAGTGAATATCTATGCACCTAGCTCATCTCATAGAAACATCCCACACAGTAGCATTGTATTACTGTCTGGTAAAAAGTAAGATTAAATTAAAAGGACTCTACACAGTGCTGAATTTCCTGCACCTAAATTACCCAGTTATCACTTGCCAGTATTCGTTGATCCCTCAGGCTGTGTCAAGTGCCCCTTCACGTAGGCCCCTGTATTAAAAAGATTGGGACAATATACTTGATTAGTTTGCCTGTAGAAGCTCAAAGTATGTGCCAAATACATCGACAGTGGATGCTTTGGTGGCTCAGCCAACACAGATCAGAGAAATCTTTTCGGGTTCCAGGGCTATTGCTTGTTACCTTTTGTCAGGATCAACCCAAATCCTCAGGGATGCTGTTTTTCCACACTAAGTCCTAACTCATTTGTGGGTCATGAAATCAACTCAACAGCTCAAGACCAGTATATTTTAAAAGTGAAATAAAAAATAGAGGAACAATAGAGCATGTAAAATGGTTAAGTACTGGTTCCTGTTTCAGCGAAATCTTCTATTTACTGTGTATACGGGATCACAAGATAAAGTGTTTCCTATTTTGAAATGCAATTGAAAAAAAGAAAGCTTGAAAGACTCTGCAGGAGGCATGGGCCATCCAGTGACTGTTGGAAGAGTCTGGATTGTGTGGAGCCTGACCTTAGATAAGGAGCAGCAGATCCACAGCTCAGGAAGTCTAGAGAGGCTCAGCACTTTCTCTTTTGAGTGAGAAGATGGAATCACTCTTGTTTGGTTTCTGAAACATTTTTCTTCTCTGCTGTGTATCAGGCACCTCGTATGATCCAGTGGAACCAGAAAAAGCATAGAAAAATCAGATCCACAAACAGCACCCACAAAAGGCCACAGCAGTCTTTTGTTTACCTAGATGTACTTTAACCTCTTTACCACTAAGCATTTTACTATCATAGAATTGGGGACAGACATTGTCCTTTGGAGTCCGTTGAATTTGCACCATCTTCCTTTTGGCTGATTGACCATACAGGTGGCAAAGGCCTTTAAAAATGGGGAGCTAATATGTAGGGCACATTCTGGTAGGGCCAAAATATTCACTATGCAAATATCAATGCCTTTTTACCAAAAACAGTGGATTTCCTCATTGCTTTAAGATCCAAGTAGAAAAGGTAAATAACTCACATTCCATATGCAGGACTCAATACAGACTTAGTCAATCTGATTTTCTTTGGTGCTATTCAGTATAGCGCAACTCGAAAAGGAACCCCATTCACTCTCCTGCTTAGTCCTTTGAAATATACTTTTGAAGTTATCCCTTATCATTAATGGCAACCTAATCAAGCTAGGATTCGTCGGTTAAAATTGCAATTCTTGTAATCTGTACTGTCCATTTTTGGCCACTCCGACTGTTAGAGCAAACTTTTCTCCACTGTCACAATTGGTCTAAAGTAGTATTTGTTTCAGGACTATCCGAAAAGCAAAGCCGGCACATTGAGAAGATACAGAATCCTACTCTATTACACACCTTACTCATGTTTCTTTGATTGAAACCTTTTTCTACTTTATATTTCCTCTTTTGTAAATTTTTCCATGTCGTTTAAAAAATTTTTTACTTTAGAATTACAGATGAGTTCTTTTTTTAAAGCATTATGGCATTTAAAAAAAAAATTTTGGTTACCCAAAAAGCTATACAAGAAATATAACTTCAATTTTTTTAGGCTGATATGGGTATTTTTTAAAGTTTTTATTACTTTATACAAATACAAATTATAGTTTAACACCTGCTATGATGATAGATATCACACTGTTATGATAGAAAATCCCTGTCAGTCATTGAACTATTCATTTTGTGTTACTCTGATACCTCAATAATGTGCTCCTTCTAATGAAGTCCTTGTAACAAGAAACCCTGTGAGATTGGTATAATGAGATATCTAATAATCAGAAGTATAATTAAAGTAGAACATGTTGGAAAATCCTAACATTTCCTGTTATGCCATCGTACCTCCGGTGTTCAGTTCACTACTCAAAAGTTCCCAATTCTCGGGCTGAAAAACATTCAAGTAAAAATGTAGCATAGATTACACTGAAATATTTTCAATATCGATGATTTAATAGCCACACTCACAAACTATTAGGAATGGTATCTGGGACTTGTTACAAGGTCAGATAGATTGTTACAGACTTTTAAAAATAATTATCTCTGTATATGACTGTGTATTACATATAAAAATGATTTTTTCAGGAAAGGTGCACTTTAAAAATATTCTCTTGCTAGTTTTTTTAATTGATCAAATAGCCTGTGCTGCTTTGGAATGTTTATTCTTGGATGAAAATATGGTCATTGATTATGATAGTTTTAAAAATATCTATTTCTGCATCGCTGCAGGATTTCCTACACTTTTCTGTTCCTCATTCCTCTTTTATGTGTGCTTGGCTCAGTTGCCTGTTACACAGTCTCTGCCTTGGTTTTGTGTATTCTAAGATAATTTATAAACACAGATGTTTACAGTGAAGTTCTTCCTTTTGAAACTAATCTTATTCTTTTATTCCTCTCTCTAAAAATTGGTTGGCCATGCTCACTAATGACTTTCTTAACAATAATCATTTCTTGGTATTGGTAGATTTGGATTGCATGGTAAGATGACTGTCCATTTTCACCATGTATACCTTTGTCAAATAAAGATTTCTGATCTTTGGTCTGCTTCTGTTTTTAGTTTTTTGATAGAACTGGAAACATTATCAATAGCTTACCCTTGCCTATATAAATTCCACCCTCTTTGGGGCTTAGATAAATATGAATAACAGATTGTCCAAGGTCCTGATTTTTCAGTCAAAGCAGGCGACATTCCAGCCCTGCGTGATCATTGCTGACTAAAAGCTTGGGGGTGGTATGGTATAGTACCTAGTGAAATCTTTTTTTTTTTTTTTTTTTTTTAGACAGAGTCTTGCTCTGTCACCAGGCTGGAGTGCAGTGGCACAATCTTGGCTCACTGCAACCTCCATCTCCCAGGTTCAAGCGATTTTCCTGCCTCAGCCTCCTGAGTCGCTGGGACTACAGGTGCACACCACCACACCCAGCTAATTTTTGTATTTTTTAGTTTTAGTAGAGATGGGGTTTCACCGTGTTGGCCAGCATGGTCTCAACCTAGTGAATTCTTAACCACCGACATTCTGCCTCTTAACCTTAGAAAACTCCGCATGACTCATTTCCCCAGTAAGTAATGAGTATATTGAATGAAGGGCCAGGAGGGAATTTTCTACTGGCAGAATCAACATTGGCAGAGGTAATTCACCTCTGATATTGAGAGTCTAGCCTTTCCACGCCTTAAGAAAATATTGTTACCACCCTTTGAATGACTTATTTAACAGCCCTCCTACAACTAGAATATGGAAAGCCATCATTTTCTTGTATGCTTTAAGTGGTCAGCCAACTATAAATTAACAAAAACTCAATGCTAGAAAGTGCTTGAAATAAGAAATGGAATTCTTCATTGTTTAATTTCCCCGATTACTGGATTCTGTTGAACCCTTTTTATGTTAATTGGCTAGTGAAACCCAGTCCATAGCCTCTAGCCCATCATGGGTGGGGAGGGGGATTGTCTTGTATTTTGTTTGTGCTTCTACATATCCTAAAGAGCTCCACTCCCCTCTCTCTGTTCTCGTGCAAAATTGTCTCGGCTATTTCTGGACCTTTACTGTTCTAGATAAATTTTAACATCAATCTGTGAACTTCCACAAAAGTTGTTGTTATTGCATTGATCTCTTGAGTAAGGATTCATTTTTTTAAAGTTAGATGTTGCTATTGTAGAATCGCTACATATCAGAATAATTTGTCTTTTTCAGCACTTGGAATTGTTCCCACAGAATGGGGACGCATGGTTCCATAAAGTATGTTAGCCAACCGAGGTGCATTTTATAGACTGATTTGAGATAGACACTTCATACCTTATATCCCCAAATGGTGTGTGTGTGTGCGCGCAGGCATGTGTGCACACGTGCACAAAACCATCTTGGGCCTTTAGTGTGGAGCACTCTTACTTCCAGAGGATTCTCCTTCTGCTTGACCCAGCCAGCTACTGAGGGAACTGCAGACTGCCACGATGATGCGTACAGACTTGCCTTGAAAGGAGGAATCTTAAGAAAGTTTCCGAGTTACTATTAAGGCCACAGCATTTTCCTGTTTAGGAGCAGAACCATCAGTCAACCATGAGCTCTAAGAAACACAACATAACCCAATGATAATAGCAGAATGGTATATTCTTAGCCTCCTCAGAAAGGCACAGCATACATAATTCAAACAGCAAATCTGTGGTGGCCATCAGAACTTTGGCAGGGTTACATAACATTTGTCAAACAGTGTGGGCTTTTAGCCATTTCATACGTTTACAAGACCTAGTCATATACTATACATTGGGGATAAAAATGTATATATACACACACACACATTTTTCACCAATACAACATAGCTATCTAGAGCCCATTACTCTATGCCAGCTTTGGCTTCATGGTGATCAAATTGTGGCAAAGCTAAGTTAGATATACTTGTATATCTATTAATTTGGCTTAGAAAATTAACACACAAAAAGAACTAAGTGTTCAAAAAAAAAATCTTTGGTGGCAAGTTAAAGGAGTCAGCCTTCAGCAGCATGAGGTGAAAATTAAAAATGTCTCTAAATTACAAGATTTAATAAAAAGCTTCAGACTCATTAGCATTTTTTAAAAAGTCACCCAAATTAGTTCTAGAGGTTTCAAGGCATGATCTATAAACAGGCTCCTTGCTTACATAATTTTAATTGCTATTTTTAAACATATTTGAAATTTAAAACTAAATCAAAGTGGCCTTTAAAAATTCTAGAAAACACCAAATTCAAAAATTACACAAAATCTTACAGCCAAAAGTCAAGAAAATAATTATTAAAACAATTTGGGATGCAAGGACTTTTAAAGTATTTTGGTAAACTCAAATGTCTTCCAAGTTCCATCACCCATCTCCGTCTCCACGATCTGCATGGCGTCCTTAGTGCCTGGCACGGGGTTGGCTCTGGAGATGTCAGAAGCACTTGCAAATAAAACAAGGAGTTTGCAAATCACATCTTCTGTTATGGGGGAGGAGTGGGCAGCAGCTTTTAAACAAGGTTGAATTCCCTTAGGTTTAGCTGTAGAATTGTGTCTTTGACAGCAGCAAACACAAAGCGAATGTTGTCTGTATCTGTAGCACACGTGAAGTGAGAGTAGATGACTTTCTCTTTGTCAGGATTCTGATCTTGGTAAAGCTTCAGGATAAAGTCTCTGGCAGCTTTGACATCCTGCTTTGGTCCTAGTCACAAGTGCAATTAGGGGAATAAAGACACAGACTTAACACCATGTCCTCCCAAGAACCATTTTTGTTTGTTTGTTTGTTTTTTGAGACAGAGTCTTGCTCTGTAGCCCAGGTTGGAGTACAGTGGCGCAATCTCAGCTCACTGCAACCTCCACTTTTGGGGTTCAAGCAATTCTCCTTCCTCAGCCTCCCAAGTAGCTGGGATTACAGATGCGTGCCACTACGTGCAGCGATTTTGTATTTTTAGTAGAGACGGGGTTTTACCATGTTGGCCACACTGGTCTTGAACTCCTGACCTCAGGTGATCCACCCACCTTGGCCTCCCAAAGTGCTGGGATTACAGGCGTAAGCCACTGTGCCTGGCCCCAAGAACCATTTTTTAATGTACTCTTGTTCTTATTTGAGATCCTGCTTTGATCTTTATTTCTAGGGAACAGTTTACCTGCAGCATTATTTTTATGGTATCTCATCATGAACCCATAAAATAGTCATATTTTAAAATGTCCTCTGGTATCTAAAAATTGTACTTTATGGCGATTTGTTTAAACATAGTGACCCAATTTGTCTGATTTGGACCACTTTTGAAGAGAAGTAATCCTTGCTAACACATATGGACAGACAGCTCTGGTCTAGGAGAGATAAAAGGAAGAATGTGGGAACTAACATTATCAGGCTGATTTTAAAGCTCGAGGGTGCTATACTGCACAGCCAGTATGGTTAGTAAAAGGGGAAAGAAGAGAGCTGAAACATGAATCCACTAAATATCAGTGTCAAACTGAATGTTTGAGATCTCCTGTACCAGAAACAATTAGCAACAGGGCATGAGACTCTCCTACCTTGGACATGTTATGTATAGAGAGCTTCAGAGTCTGCCATGTGTCTGGGAAAAGGGATGCCACAGTCTAACATAAGAAGCACCAGGTACTCCAACTGGCACGAGGAATGCACAGATAAATCAAGCAGATCTCTGCCCTCACGGAGCCAACTGGGAAGAAAGCTGAGTGAGCAGAGGATACGACATAGCGTGATGTGGCCAAGAGAGCAAGCGGGGATCAGGCTGCCAAGGGAGCAGAAAGGAGGAGGCACCCCTACTGCAGACCGGATGGGCAGGGGAGGCCAGAAATGCCCCCAGAGAAGGGGAGGTCTTTGCTGGGTTTTGGAGAACAACGTGGAGGCAGTGAAAGGAGTTGGCAAGGATATTCCCAGCACGGAGGGAAGCGTGTGTGGAGGTGCTTCGGTGAAAACACACAATGGTGCAACTAGAGCTTCTGTTTGAAGGTGGGAATAGGGAGAGAGGGTGTTCTAGGCAGACCAGGGAGACCCTTTTTGCTGTGGTAACTCTAGTCTGATGCCCAGGAGGTAGACAAGATCAACACAGAAATACCGTCCACAAGACAGACACTTACCTGTGTATTCTGGGAAATAGCTAATTAGATGAGAGTACATGATTTTCTCTTCCAAAAGATCCTTCTTGTTCAAGAATAAAATCACAGACGAATTCAGAAACCAGGGGTAGGTGATGATGGTTTTAAATAAGGCTTTGCTCTCTTCCATGCGGTTCTAAGTGAAGAACAAGGGACTTGGGATGAAGTAGAAAGGAAATATTTTGGAAACAACATGGCACATTGCCAGTCCATCCATCTCTTCCCTTGCCCTGTCGCAGTCTCTGGACCACTGTCTGCTGAAGCTGGTGAGCATGTGGAGCCCAAGGCAACAGGCCTCCTACTTCTGTTTGCCCCTCCCCAAGCCTCTTACCAACCTTCCCCTTCTGGGTCGCCTCTCCTGTTGCATCCCAGGTCTTCTCCAGCCCAAAACTCACAGGGAGGAAATAAGAAAGGCTTTGGTGCAACTTGGAGAAGGAAGGTTCCTACCCACATTTGACAAATTTCCTGTGTCATGTGATCATTGGAATTACCAAGTAGGGAAGTGCCAACTTCAGACCTGACACGGCCACCTCAGTTGGTTATGGGCTTCCAGACTGGGCCTCAGCAGTCAAATGACAAGGCTCTTCCAGCAAGGCCACTGCCCCAGGAATGCTAGACATTGGCAGAGACGGGAGGCAGTGCTACTGTGAACCCACCCTGTGCCACACTTTATAAGCAAAGCAGTGGCCCGTTTGATGGGTGAGCATACTGTTGTTCAGAACGTCTTTTTTTGTTTTTGTTGTTTTTTTTTTTTTTGAGATGGAGTCTCACTCTGTTGCCCAGGCTAGAGTGCAGTGGCACGATCTCAGCTCACTGCAACCCCCAGCTCCTGGGTTCAAGTGATTCTCCTGCCTCAGCCTCCCAAGTAGCTGGGACAACAAGTGTGTACCACCACGCCCGGCTAATTTTTTGTATTTTTAGTAGTGACAGCGTTTCACTGTGTTAGCCAGG